AAAAACATTATACCCTGATTTCCCATTTTCAATGGGTTCAGGGTATAAAAAAAAGAAAAACTAAACCAAACCAAACCAAAAGCTCGGCTCATAACAGCAGCAATGCACATTGACAAACTACAAATAAAGTGCGCCAAGTTGTTTCATTACGCAAGAACTTATCATATATATATATATATTTTATATTTGGCATAATCGTTTATATCCCAGCGGCATTTTTTATTTCCTTCTTAATCAAAATACGAACCAAAAATGAATACAAAATAATAAAATTACTAACTAAAAATATTATTGTCTCATATCATTGATAGCGAAAGCAACATAGAGAGCGAGAGAGTGAGAGAGACAGAGATTTGTCTCTACCTGCAAGTAGAGCAATTTATAGGCATATCATTTATCTATGATGATAGATCAAATATTTCTAGGCATTTATCTTTAAATATTTATTTTCTTCTGTTTTTTTTTTTTTTTAACGTGCTTACTACGCATCTTTAGCAAAGCGAATAAAAAATTTAAACGCACTTACCGCTCGAATTGTATTGTATTGTTAAATAAATTATTTATAATATTGTTCATATGTAAAATGTATATATAAGATATTGCAAAATGTCTATAAATAATGACTGTAAAAAAATGTTAACGGTGCAGTAGTCATTCATGTATTAATAAATTCATATATCCATATACACATATATCTATATATGTATATATGTGGTATATTTGCAAGTTGTTTATTATTAGTCGAAACCGAGAAATGAAATTAACAAAGAGATTAATTTGATTCAATCATCGATGACGGCACACAAACATTTCAATTGCAGTTGCGTCTGCTTTATTGTTTTCTCTCTCTTTTGTTTTGGCACTTCAATATTTATACTCATTCACATATGTGAAAAGAGTATATTTGCTTTGTGAAATGTCCGTATTATTTGCCGTCCGTATGTCCGTATAAACTTTTTTGTGTTTTCTTAATAGCAATGACTTGAAATGTAAAATATAAATTTAATTTAAAATATATACTAAAAATGTGTGACAAATTATTCTATAGTCGGTAACACCCGATTGCTTGTTAGCTCTATTACTTTTGTTCTCTTTTTTACCAACTTATCTTATCAGACAACTGTTGTAACGAAATCAAAAAATTTCATTCGAAGAAGTTCTATTTAAATATTGACTGTTTGTTAGTAGAAAAGATCCCTACTTAAGCCAATAAGTTGGCCCACATGAAAACTATTTGAGCTTTTCTTTGTGCGAGTTGATGTAAGAGAAATGTTTCACATTTCTAAAAATATTTTTCATATGTGCTTAAACTATATTTGAGTTATTTAAGCCCACAGGAATTAAATTTTCCTTTAGCATTCACACAATCAAACTCTAATCGGTTGAAGCCTATCATCCGAATTTTAGACTTTCTAGTTTTTTTTTAGCTTATTTCCACATCGTTTCAAGTTTGTTTTGGAATCATTTCCTTAATACATTTTCATGAAATCTTTTTTTATAAATATAATTTCCATTCAAATATTTATGATTCGCCCACGCACAACCCTGAACAACATGTGCAATAGCTAAAAAAAAAATCAGTTCTAAGTTAAACCCCAAACCCCAAATGCCACAATATACATATAGTATATATCGCTATCTGGCCGTTCACATGAGATATCAATTTGTTATTTGTATTTGCCATTCAAATACACACGCAGAGATATAAATGCCAATACATTTGCACTACATTATCTATGGTTTTATTTATTTTGTTTTTTTTTTTTTTTTTTAAGATAAAAACGAAAAGCAAAACTGAAAAAACGCATTTATAATTTTATAAACTTTGTAGTTGGTCAATGTATATATATATGTATACATATATGTCTGATGTCTGCATGATGTCAGCTGCAAATTGTTTTTCCGTATTTCAAGTTTATATTCAAAATAATAAAAAACAAAAAGAAGCAACAGCATTAAGTACAAATTTTAACTTAATTTATGGGCTGGATGTGTATGTGTGGGTTGCAGTAAATCTATTTAAATAATTCCCGTACAACCAATTCTATTTTTTAGTCTAACTAAAAAGTGAAAAAAAAACACAAGTATATATATGTGTAGATGGGGAGAAACTTTTAAACAGCGCCAGCCAGCGCCCACACAAATAGAACCAGCAAAGCGGACGTGTTGAACATCGAATAGAATAAATACCTATCTCTCTCTCTACACATATATATAGAGATAGATATGGATACGGATTCAGATAGACAGATATATAGATACGCAGCTAGTGCTGCTGGGCATGTCATTGACGCAGTTCTGGATATACTGAGAAATTTATGGGCAGTTTCGGTGTGTGTGGAAAGCGCTTACAAAAATAAACCTGCCTACAGCAACTAAGTAGTGCGCGAGCTTTTATGAATGTGGGCCAAGAATGATCGAAAAACGATATCGATGACTCGATGACAACAGCATCCGATGACCTACAAACAACCTCTAGGCTACATGCATGGCCATGCGTATACCTGATTTCAGGATATTAATTAATTGCTAATTGAGGCTGCGATTAAAAGCAGATTAATACATTACGCCAGAGGCCCGAAGAAAAAACATTAAAGATTCGACGAAACCCAACAACAATAAATAATAATAAAAAGTAAAAACGAAACCAAATGATGCAAATTGCTTTGGAGGCAACAGACAACAACAAAAATGAAAGAAAACAAAATCAAAAACCAAAAAAAAAAACAAAAAGCAAACCAAACAAGTTCAACAAGTTTTAAGTCTTGTATTAAATTTGGTTTTTGGTAATGCTTGCCTTTTGCTTTTCTTTTGTGTGTATTTTATTATTTTTTGAAGGTTAAACGGAGAGAGCGAGAGAGTGAGTGAGAGCGGTAAAGAGCAGCTGAAACAGAAATCGAAAACTGTTAATTTTTATAGCTGTTAACACACACTCACTAAATATTTGCATTCACATATTCATATTCGTATTCATCTGTATTTATGTAAGCTGTTCCAACAAAAAAAACAAAACAATACGAAACAAAAGGAAAATATAATAATAAAAAAAAGCTACAGCTGCTGCGTCTGCTTAAAATCGAGTCGAAAATTGTTCCACATGCGAGAACAATTAACCGCCAACAATTACAAGTCGCTTCCACATACACATACACATATTTATATGTATATACAAACATATATACATATGTATATACTTGTATATGTATTTGCATAACCTTAAAAATATCGCTAGAGATTGAGCTCAATGGAATGTTTGTATGGAAAATCAACTATCTGCGGAATAGATCTCTATCTCTTACTTCAACTATAATCTTAGATAATAAATGATTAGTCGATTTACTATCATCAATCAATTTTTCATTATCAACATTTGATTTGTGGTTTATTTTAACCATACAAAATCAAATTGGGACATCGCAAATCCCTAACAGAAATTTTTATCGAAATAAATTTATCGATAAGTCTTATTTCAAATCAAATTGTTTCAAATAATGATCAAAGAATGAAATCATAAAACATTCTTATGCTTACTTTAACAACATCGTGTCCTTTTATATATCGATAATTAATGCGATTAATAATTAAATGAAATAAATTAAACAAAGTCCTCATTAAAATACTTCGATTGATTCGCTTGATTAAAAACAAATTAGTTAGAATTAATAAAATAAAGAAAATATTTAAAATAATTGTTTTTTAAGTTATCGATATACATAGTTTTTATTCACATCATGAAAATTTCTAAAATGTTACAGCTATAAGTCTTTAGTCATACAACCAATAACAATTCAATCGATAACATGTGCTATGCTCTTGTTATCGATAACATGTGCTATTCTTTTGCTATCGATAACATGTGTAAACTATTCCACACCAAATTTCGTTATTCAATTAGTTATTTCTTCAGCTGCGACGCCTAACCCACATGCCCCACATTTTATACCGCTGCGGAATGGAGAGCGCGCTTCGCTGATAAGAGCCGATGACGCCGTCATCATCGACGGGCCGCGACTGTTGGCAGCTTGTTGTGAAAAGTCATTATTTCATATGTGTAATGTGTGCTTAATATTTGTACTCTAGGTTTTTTCTTTCCTCTCTTTTATTTTGTT